TTACAAAGGAGCCCTCTTAGAAACAGCTGAATGGAAGAGATGTCTAGTGCAAAGCATGAGGATGGGGCTGGCACAGGGCTTCCCTGACTGCTTCCAGCACCTCTGTGTGTTCAGCCTGGAAACTCTCCGAACCTTGATGCTTGAGGGTTCCTGTGGAGGCTTCATTACCTAGCACAACTGAGTAAGTCATTTCCATTGATGATCGCCTCCAGCCTGTCCCCCACTCCCGGATGTCTGGAGGTGGACTTACAGGTCCAGCCCTTTAATCACCTGGCACTTGTTTTTTCTGGTGATCAGGCCTTATCCTGAAACTATGTAGACTCCTTCCCCCACTTCCCCTACTGAACCCTCTCATTAGCATGAAACAGATAGTAAATTCCAAAAGTTTTAGGAGTTCTGTTGCCAGGAACCGAACCCAAAAACCAAATGTTTATTTTTTATTATATCCCAAATCTATTACTGTATTGCCCCAGAATCTACATATATAAATGGTGAATGTTAGTGAATGTTTTTGAATTTCAGCATATGTGATATTAAAATTTTCTATATGTATTTAATTTTCCTACAAACATTTGTAAAACATAGGCTAAAATGAACAAAAGTGTATTTAAAATTTTAATTTTTCCTTTTTCTTGATGTTAGATTTGTTTAGTCATGGGATTAGCTTATTGATCACTAAGCAAAGCAAATAATAGTAAAAATATCATTTACTAAGACTTGAATACTCTTTTTAAAAAAGTATGGGTTACTCTGGCTTCTAGTTTTTCACTTTTGATATTTATATGTTGAATGGCTGTAAGCTCATGGTTCTGGGAGAGGAGTGTGGGTTTTTGTTTTTTGTTTTTTTGTTTTTAAAGATTTATTGGGGCCGGTGCTGTGGTGTAGCAGGTAAAACCACCACCTGCAGTGCTGACATCCTATATGGGCACTGGTTCAAGTCCTGGCTGCTCCACTTCCGATCCAGCTCTCTACTATGGCCTGGGAAAGCAGTGGAAGATGACCCAACTCCCTGAGCCCCTGCTCCTGCATGGGAGACTGGAAGAAGCTCCTGGCTTCGGATTGGCACAGCTCCGGCTGTTGCGACCATCTGGGGAGTGAACCAGCAGCTGGAAGATCTCTCTCTCTCTCTCTCTCTCCCTCTCTCTCTGTAACTCTGACTTTCAAATAAATAAATCTTTTTAAAAAATATTTATTTATTTAAATTATTTTTAAGATTTATTTATTTATTTGAGTCAGAGTTACACAGAGAGAGAAGGAGAGGCAGAGAGAGAGAGAGAGAGAGAGAGAGAGAGGTCTTCCATCCGCTGGTTCACTCTCCAGTTGGCCACAATGGCCGGAGCTGTGCCAGTCTTAAGCCAGGAGCCAGGAGCTTCCTCCAGGTGTCCCATGCGGATGCAGGGGCCCAAGGACTTCGCCATCCTCTGCTGCTTTCCCAGGCCATAGCAGAGAGCTGGATGGGAAGTAGAGCAGCTGGGACTCGAACTGGCGCCCATATGGGATGCCTACACCTCAGGGGGGGCAGCTTTACCCACTACGCCACAGTTCAGCCCCATATTTATTTATTTATTTGAAAAAGTTACAGAGAAAGAGAGAGAGATATCTTCCATCTGCTAGTTCACTTCCACTCCCCAAATGGCTGGTGGGCCAGGCCAAAGCCAGAAGCCTGGAAGTCCATTTGGGTTTCCTGCATGAGTGCAGGGGTCCAAGCAATTGGGCCATCTTCCACTGCTCTTCCGAGTGCGTTAGCAGGCAGCTGTATTGGAAGTGGAACAGCCAGGACACAAACCAGCACCAGTGTGGGATGCTGGCATTCAAGGTGGTGGTTTAACCTGCTCCAGCTCTTGCCCGTGATAGATGTTTTGCCTCCCAGGGGATATTTATCTAATGGGTCTCTATAGGGCAGGAATCCTGCTAAAAATCCTGTATTGCAAATAACAGCACTCCCACCCTGTAACAAGGAATTATCTGGTTCCAAATGTCAGTTGTACTAAACTTGAAGAAACTTGTTGTGGGTCAGCTTGGGAATCACCACTGTTTAGATGATAACTGAAACTATGGGACTGAATAGTCACCTCAGCTTATGACCTACTCTTCAGCCCTGGAGCCTTAACTTAATCGACTCTAGTGGAATCAGGAAGGAAACCAGAGAGTTCTTATATAGCATGTGTGCAGGGGAAGCACACAGACAGCAATTTGAGCTGTGAACAGAAAAAAAGATACTTGGTTTAGCAAGGTGATTTTGTGAACAAAATCAGGCTCCCTGAAGAGTTAGGAGTCATCAGTTCCATAGGATTTGCATCTAGGAAAGTTAATATTTATTAAGTTTTGAGGAAGTTCTGGGAAGGGCATGCTTATTTGAAAGAAGGTGGGCACACATACCCACTAAGTATCATGTGTGTTACATGTGCTGCATACTCATTTGGAGGTGGAGATTCTCCATATTATATACAGGGATTTTGCCTTTTTATGTCAGAAAGGGGAAGTTGAAGATACAATTTCTGTTCTTGTGCAGAATTCTTAACCCAGCTTCAGTCAGGTTGGGCCCTAGGTTTCTTATCAAGGGAGTTCACCACAGGAATGTATCTTCAGCCAGTCGTCTGTGATTCACTACCTGGGAAGAAAACTGGTTGATGTTAACTAGGATTTTTTTTTTTAAGATTTATTTATTTATTTGAAAGAGTTACACAGAGAGAGGAGAGGCAGAGAGAGAAAGAGATAGAGAGAGAAAGAGAGTGAGGTCTTCCATCTGCTGGTTCACTTCCTGATTGGCTGCTACGGCTAGAGCTGCGCTGATCCAAAGCCAGGAGCTTCTTCCGGGTTTCCCACGTGGGTGCAGGGACCCAACGACTTGGGCCATCTTCTACTGCTTTCCCAGGCCATAGCAGAGAGCTGGGTCGGAATAAGAGCATCTGGGACTCAAATTGGTGCCCATATGGGATGCCGGCACTGCAGGCGGCTTTACCCGCTACACTGCAGCGCCAACCCTGTTAACTAGGATTAAAATGGGTTGAGGAGGGGCCAGCTCTGTGGCGCAGTGGGTTAAAGCCCCAGCCTGCAGCCCGGCATCCCATATGGGCGCTTGTTCTAGTCCTGGCTGCTCCTCTTCTGATCCAGCTCTCTGCTGTGGTCTGGGATAGCAGTGGAAAATGGCCCAAGTCCTTGGGCCCCTGCACCCATGTGGGAGACCCAGAAGAAGCTCCTGGCTTCGGATCGGTGCAGCTCTGGCTGTTGCAGCCATCTGGGGAGTGAACCAGCAGATGAAAGACCTCTCTCTCTCTCTGTCTCTACCTCTGTCTGTAACTCTTTCAAATAAATAAAATAAATCTTTAAAAAAAAAAATGGGTTGCAGAGCAGTGAGTAGTTAAGACATCTACATCCCACATTCAGAGAGCCTTGCATTCAATTCCCACCTCCAACTTCTTGCCAGTGCATTTCCTGGGAGGCAACAGTGATGGCTCAAGTGGTTAGGTTCCTGCACCTATGTGATGAAGCTAGATTGTATTTCTGGCTCCAGGCTTCTGACTTCTGTGCCCAGCCCAGCCCTGGCTGTTGCTGTCATTTTGTGTGAGTCAGTGAGTAGAAGCCTGTTCTCTCTCTCTTTGCCTCTTAAATACATAGGTTGAATCCTTTTCTTTAGGAGATTGGGGTGTTATTTTTATTGATATGGAGAATTTTTCTCATCCTGTCTCCAACTGCTTACTGATGATCAGACTCCAACAATCCAAATGGCCTAAATATGTGTTGTTAGCTAATCTGTATGGGTTAGGTGAGGGAGAAATAAAAATTTGGATTCTTTTTCATCTTAAACTCTTACGCTTTCCAGATGTCTGTTGAGAAGTACAGATAGAGTAACCCTAATCTGAAAATCTAAAATCCACAGTACTTCTACATGACGATCATCATGATGTTTTAGATTTCGGGACATCTGGATTTTGGATTTTTACTTTAGGGTTGTTCAGCTGTTAAAGTCTGAAAATATACTAAAAATCTGAAAAACTCAAATGTGAAACACTTTCTAAGCAAATTGAATGAGGTATAACTCAACCTGTGTTTGTATTCAAGATGAAAAAGAGTTTTAGAACTTGCTTGCACAGTGTGAAAGTACCTAACACTACAGAAACTATATACACCTACAAATAATTAAGATGATGAATTTTATGTTATCTATATGTCACTATAATGGTAAACTATACTTAAATCATATATTCATTTCTTCATTTTTTTAAATGCAGGAGTCTGTTACAGGATTATACTTCCAAAAAGTTCATGGAAAATGCATATTATGACGAAACTATGCATGGCTCTCAATTTTTTTGCATTAAAATGAATTTATCTTCAATTTCATTTTCTGTGAACTTTTAAAAGTGCTGTTGAATTTCTCTAGAACTTTGTTCTCATTTTCTTGCACCATTTTTTCCTAGTCAAGAGTTTATGATATCTCATCCTTATCCACGTGACCTTTATTTTTTAAAGTATACAAATTATCCCCCCCATTTAAAAATTTTATAATTTATTTTTATTTATTTGAAAGAGAGTTATCCTCTCTTCTGACTCATTCCTTAAAGGCCTGCAGGAGCCTGGGCTGGGCCAGGCTGAAACTAGGAGCCCAGAACTCTATCTGAGCCTGTCGTATGGGTGGCAGGGACCCAACTGCCAGAGCTGTCACCTTCTGCCTCCCAAAGGTGCATATTATCAGGAGGCTGGATTGAAAGCAGAGTGGGTATCAAACCAGGCACTTGTATATGGGTTGTGTGTGTCCCCAGTAGCTGCTTAACCACTGTGCCAACTAACTGCCCTATAGCTTCCATCTTAGATAGTGCTGGACTGATGTGAAAGTATATTTGGATTTTAGCTTCTTAAAACTAAAGTATTTAATTAAATTTTCAATGCAGGATGCAATATGTAGTCTTTGGATATTAAAATGGAATTTTTTAGCTTCAAATGCCATCAATATAAAGTTTACTTAGGATTATATGTATTGCTTTTCTCTTTCTAAATAGGCTTTCAAGGATATGCTGTATTCAGCTCAGGACCAGGCACCTTCTGTGGAAGGTAAGATGAATCAACTCCCAAGTTCAGTCACAGAAAACCACTTTTTAAGGAAAGATTTTAAACTACGAAGTATAAAACTATTATGAACACCTGCCATATTATAAGGGTCTTTCTTGTTTTTGATAATATGTTACATGAGGGCTAGCACTGTGCCATAGTGGATAATATGTATTATAATTATTTTATATATATATATACACATATTTTTTTTTTTTGACAGGCAGAGTTAGACAGTGCAAGAGAGACAGAGAGAAAGGTCTTCCTTCCATTGGTTCACCCCCCAAATGGCTGCTACGGCCGGCGCTGCGCCGATCCGAAGCCAGGAGCCAGGTGCTTCCTCCTGGTCTCCCATGCGGGTACAGGGGCCCAAGCACTTGGGCCATCCTCCACTGCCTTCCTGGGCCACAGCAGAGAGCTGGACTGGAGGAGGAGCAACCAGGACAGAATCTGACACCCCGACCAGGACTAGAACCCGAGGTGCTGGTGCCGCAGGCAGAGGACTAACCTAGTGAGCCGCGGCGCCGGCCTCTATACATACATACATACATACATATATATATAAAGACTTTTTTTTCTCTTAAGATTTATTTATTTATTTGAAAGTCAGAGTTACACATAGAGAGGAGGAAAGGCAGAGAGAGAGAGAGAGAGAGAGAGAGAGATCTTCCATCCAATAGTTCATTCCCCAACTGGCCACAACGGCCAGAGCTGCGCCAATTCAAAGCCAGGAGCCAGGAGCTTCTTCCGGGTCTCCCACACTGGTGCAGGGGCTTCTCCTGCTTTCCCAGGCCACAGCAGAGAGCTGGATTGGAAGAGAAGCAGCCGGAACTAGAACTGGTGCCCATATGGGATGCTCCAGGCCAGGGCATTAACCCGCTGTGCCACAGTGCCGGCCCCAATTATTTTATATTTTAACTCATAGTTTTCTTTTGTCTAGCTTGCATTTACCTATAATAAATCTTTTATTATGTGTTAATGCCACTTGAAGACTGTGAATCACACATATTGATGCAGTCAGATTTCTTTCTGTGACTTGCTTTCTTCCTCTGATGTATTTTTATTTTCTCCCTTCCTTCCTTTCTTAACATAGCTTTTCCTTTCTATTGATGTCATTTCTTTAGAATTCAGTGGAGCATGTTTGTGTGTGTGTGTGCATGTGTGTACACCATCTAAGAATGTTTATGTATGCATGCGCACAGTTTGACCATCTTAAAACAATGACCTGGGGGCAGTTGTTATCTCTTCAATTATCTTTATTGATCTTACCTTTTCTGTTATCTCAGCTTCTGCTCACTAGCTCCTTCTTTACCAGTTATTCTTGAGGGAGTATTGCCTCTGAGGCTGGATGTTCTTTTAAAATTCTGCATCAGATATTTTCAGGAGAGATGAATGTGAAAAAGTGTACATCAAATGTATTTTAGATTTTTATTTGAGTAATAACTTTATGCGCTATCAAACTAGTAGTTTTTGAAATCATTGTAGTGACAAGCTATAAGAGGCTTATTTTTAAGACATACAAGATATGTCTAAGTTGTTTAATAAAACTACAGACCTATACTTAAAAATATTATGTCTTCAGTGACATAGAAATATATGTCTTCCAGGGCTGGCATTGTAGTGCAGTGGGTTAAGCCGCTGCTTGCCACATTAGCATCCCATATCAGAGCTCTGGTTCAAGTCCTAGCTACTCTGCTTCCCATCCAGCTTTCTTGTAATGGCTCTAAGAAGGCAGTGGATGATGACCCAGGTACTTGAGCCCTGTAACCCAGATGGGAGACAGGGTGGAGTTCCTGGCTCCTGGCTTCAGCATGGTCTAGTCCTGGCTGCTGTGGCTGTTGGGAAGCGAATTGGTGGATGGAAAATCTTTCATGTTGTCTCTTCCTCTGTTGCTCTGCCTTTCAAGTAAATAAATCTTTAAAAAAACTAAAAGAAATATACAACTTCCATCAAACCATTTTGAATTAAAAATGTGATTTTTACTAACATAAAATCTTTCCCCTTACCACTTTAAACCAGGTTATTGGTATTTACATATTAACTTTATAATGTATTGCTGAATTTTGTACTATGCTATATTTAATTCTCTGCTGTTCAGTATGAGACACATAAGATTTATCAAAATACTTTGTTCTTTATTGGGTTATCTCTTATTTTATGTGCCCTAAAGAATACTTCCTTTAAGAATATAAGAAAAATGAAATTACATGGTAGTTAAATTGATTCCTTGCCCTTCATAAGTTGCTTTACTATTGGTTCTTTTAATTTTATTCTCAAGGTAGGGCTACTTATCTCTGTTATTGTTATTTTTAAAGTCTTATCATCTGGTTTGTAAACAAAATGCCCTCTGTTGAAACTTATGATGATATTTATTCATCCCCTCCATGCTGGAGCATGTTCCAAATAATTTTTTCATTTACTTTCTGTTCTTATTAGAGAAAAACTGAATTCTGGGAATGTATCTTCAAAATGACAGCTATTTATAGTTAAGAATTTTCTTTGTCTCTTTGCTTAGAGGCATTAACTTCTTTGAACCCTGTGATAGAGTGAGTTTTATAGGTTGATTATGTAGGAGCTTCTGCTGCTTTCATAAGGGATGATTCTGTACTTGTTTTTTCTTTTTACTTTCATGAAAAACATACCATAAAGCCATGTGGCTTTTATTCTTTTTAACATGAGTTTTACCTTTTTGAAGCAATAGACAATTGAAAGTATTGGAAAATGTTTAAGGGAATGTGCTGTATAATATTGGGGTTAGGAAAAGTTACTAAAAAACCTAATTGTTTTCTCATTTGTTTTGTGATTTTATATTAATATCTTCTGAATGGTATTACATTAAAGTGATAATTTCTGTATTTTATCTTTGTTTACCAGTTTATATTTCTAGACTTTTGTTTAGCATTTATTTTAAAATAATAGAACACATGCAGATTTATCCAAATCTAAGATAGGATGATGTTAAACTTTTAACACTTAAAACATTTCATGCTAGTTAAGTTTCTTTTCATTTTAAAAATCAAGTATACCATAAATTAGTGGTTCTTGGATCTGCTTCCCATTTAACTCAACAACTCAGCTCACCTATAAGTCCGTAATCTTTAAGATGTTTTATGTTTTAATATTAGTTTAATCTCTGGAATTCCATTTTATCACATAGTGCATTGGTAATTCTGATTGTCACTGTTGAGTCATACTTTAAATTGGTCTTAGGTCACACAAATCTAAAATGACATTTAGGCAAAATGATCTTTAAATGTCCCTTTGAAGTAGATGCCAGTGATTTTTTAATTCTGTGACCTAGGTTAACTGTCAAGGTTCTCATGTTTTTCCATCAGAAATAAATGGTAGAGGAGGCCTTCACCGTGGCATAGTAGGTTAAGCCTCTGCCTGCCATGCTGATTCGTGTTCTGGCTGCTACTCTTCTGATCCAGCTCTCTGCTAGTGGCCTGGGGAAGCAGCAGATGATGGCCAAAGTCCTTGGGCCCCTGTGCCCACATGGGAGACCCAGAAGAAGCTCCTGGCTCCTGGCTTTGGATTGGCCCAGTTTGGCCTCTGTAGCTGTTTGAGGAGTAAACCTGTAGATGGAAGACCTCTCTCTCTCTCTCTCTCTCACTCACTCACTCTCACTCTCACTCTCACCTCTCATTCTCACTCTCACTCTTTCTCTCTGTCTGTAACTCTGCCTCTCAAATAAATAAATAAATCTTTATAAATAAATAAATAAATGGTAGAAATATTTCTTCTTTCTTTCTTTCTTTCTTTGACAGGCAGAGTGGGCAGTGAGAGAGAGAGACAGAGAGAAAGGTCTTCCTTTGCTGTTGGTTCACCCTCCAATGGCCGCCGTGGCCGGCGTACCATGCTGATCCGATGGCAGGAGCCAGGTACTTATCCTGGTCTCCCATGGGGTGTGGGGCCCAAGCACTTGGGCCATCCTCCACTGCACTCCCTGGCCACAGAGAGAGCTGGCTTGGAAGAGGGGCAACTGGGACAGAATCCGGCACCCCGACCGGAACTAGAACCTGGTGTGCCGGCACCGCAAGGTGGAGGATTAGCCCAGTGAGCCGCGGCGCTGGCCAGAAATATTTCTAAATAAAAGGTACTATATTAAAAAATGGTAAAATGAAGTTTTAAGCTTCCCTTGAAATTAATTCACAACTAAAAAGTAAAATTGGCTAATTAATTATAGTGTATAAATAATATATATCTAATTTCAGAAGTATCCTGGGAAAAGAGGACAGGTAAGTTTCTCAAAAAAAAAACACTAAAAAAAAAACCACCCACAAACCAATTAACTTTTACCTAGGTAGAATTATTCCGTTAAACATTCAGCTCCCGCATTATGGGGGAGTGGATTAAGATGGCAGAGTAAGGAGGGAGCTTGCTGCTGGAGTCAAAAGAAGAAAGAGTGCAATCTCAGGGAAGAGTTAGGGAGGAAAAAGCGGAGGAAACTCGAAGGAGGAACACAGTGGACCTACATGGAGGGCAATCATGTGTACAGCTTTCGTATCCACCTGCTGAGAGTCTTGGCACCAGCGTTGGAGAGCAAGGTGAGACCAGACTGCAGCCGGCCAAGCCACTGGTGAAAAAGCTGCAGGGGGAGCCTAGAGGGAATCTGGCTTGGATCCCTGCGGGGGACAGTGTACCCACTAGACTAGAGTATAAAAAACAAAGGGTTTTCATATTTTCTCTCTCTCCAGTTATCCTGCAAAGGAGTCCTGTAACAAGCTGACAGAGAGCAGGTGCCATTTTGGACATATGTAACAGATGTGCTAGCTTGTGTCTGCAACTAGCTAAGTGTAGACTCCTGAGTCTGGTAGGGAGAACAGACAAAGGGCTGGGTGCTCGTGAGTGTGGGAGGCTTGTGTGCCAGGACTGTGAAAACACACTGAGGCTGTGTGGGAGGACTCAGAGTGTGGCTGGGACACTGTGGGAGGCTCCACAGGATCAGGACTCCTGGGTTACCTGGCAAGAGACATTGCTGGGGTTAATCAAAACAATTGAAA